CTGTGTTGGTTTTTCCTGTTTGTACCGTGACAGAAGCTTTGATGTGTGTTACTCGGAAGTTAGTTGCTACAGCACCCATCATTCATCCTCCTGTCATGCCTGTTTCTATCACAGTAGACTCATGAGTTTAAGAAGCAGTTGGTTTTTTTGTTAAAATTTTGCCATGAGAGATTTAGTCTCATCCTTTACTGTTTTTATCTTGCATAATGTATTCTGACCACAAGTCTGAAAATGTAGCTCTTTCTGAAGAATTGCAGCAGAGTTTGGTGCAGTTTTAGAAAGTCTACAGATGAGCCACTGGGATTTGCAGAGGTTTTGTACTTAATAATTTAAATATTGCTATTTCTGACGATTTTATAGAACTTATGCTCGAGGCCCATGGGATCATCTGATCTGACCTGCATATGAATCATAAGCCAGTAACTTGCACAAGTTATTCTTAAATTAAGCCTGACTGCTCATGCTGGACTAAACCCAAAGATGTTTGGCTGGAGCAGTCTTCTAGAAAGGGAAAACATCAAGATAAGTTGAGTGCATGTTCCTTGGGTGTGGAGCTTCAGTGCCTAATTATCCTCTCTCTGTTTTCATCCAGGGTCATAATTAAGATCTTTCTTTCTGCTTTCATTTTCCACTGTTTTTGTTGTATTTTGTGCTAGATTAGAGAGAGCTTTTAGTACTTACTAAGTTACATGTGAACTGTAGACACCTCCTAGTTTTCCTTTTTCATCAGCAGAACAGTTTCAACTCAGACTCTCATTTGAAAGCATTTTCAGCAGTCTGCCGTTCTTGTAGTTTACCTCTGCACTCATATAAACTTTATTCTTACCCTTTTTGCACTTTAAAAAGTGCAAACTGAGGCTGTATTCAGTATTTTTGGTCTCAGTAATGCTTTTTAAGATCTTGTTTTGAGATTTAAAATCCTGCCTGGGCTTTAGCCCAAGTCTGAAACTGAACTGGTTTACAGTTTACTTCTTTTTATGGCCATATTTGAATGCAGCTGCTGTGGGTTTAGGAACTAAGTTTCTCCCAGTGTATGGGGTGAATTTCATTGTGCTCTTCTGGTGGTTGTCTTAATTCGGTATATAACTGTAGTGAAGTTTAAGTTATATGCAAAATCTACTCTTTTTATTCCTTGGAGAGTGAAATTATTTTTATGTTATGCATCATAATGGCCATTATAATAACTGTTATTTTGGCTGTTGCTAAGCAAATAAGACAATGCAATATTAAGTGTATTTGCATGCATTTGTAACTGTTCTTACCCAGACCCTACAAAATTTTGTGAATTCTGTCAGACACATGCTCTCTTAGCTGAATTGTACCTGAGTTGCACTTTGCCTTGGCTAACCAAAAATGAGGTTTCATTTAAGTATACATCTATCTATCTATCCATCCATAGATATATGCATGTGTACATATACATATATTTATAGACACAGACCTTTGGTTCCTAATCCGGAGAAGACAAAACCCCTGAAATTTTCACAGGGTATCAGACTGTTTAGATGTTTACAGGTAGTAAGTTATATTTTGCATAACCTTACAATCTTTTAGTAGTGGAGGAAAAATAAAAAAGAAAATTTGATCTTTGAATTAGGAAAAGATGTAGAAAAATATTCCAAATCTGCTTAACTTGAAAGAACATCTACAGTGAAAGATTTCTGGTTTGGACTATCTATGAAACAGTGGCTTTTTCTTAAAAGCTGATTTTGGCATGCTGGGTGACTGTTGGAAATAGTACCCACTGTAAGTCTTTCCTTTGAGGGCTATGATGAGTTACAGAGCAGTGGAGAACATTTTTGTGCAGATTTCAATAACTGAAATTCTGGCTCTCATTTTCCTTTCGTTTGAATAGTTGAGCATTGCTTGAGTGAGTTTAAATCTCTGACTATTTTGTTACAATGGGTAAACCTTTCCTATTATGGCTGGTTTTCATGGTAGTTTTCAAATACTAGAAAGAACCAGTAGTAACACTAAAGCAGTGTATTATTTTCTTTAGGATGGAATTAACCTTTTGATGGATAATGCCCTTTGGTGAAGGGTTACTAGCTTCAGATATCTGTATATCTGCAGTTTGGTCTCTTCTGTAATGTGATTTCTAGTGACAGATCTGTAAGCATTTGTTGCCGTGTTCAAAAAGACATTTATTTTCAAGCTGTACAATGACTTAAGGCATCTAAGAACAACCAGAGACTGAAGTCTTACTCACATGTTATGAAAATTCATGCATCCTAATACTCCTGTGTGCCAGCAGTGGTGGCCTGCAGTGATGTGGTCTCACTGGTGGCCTGTGGGGTGCTTGGATTTCTCTCATGCTTTTCCTTGGAGTAGCTGGGAGTGGCTGAGTTGCAGATACACACCAAACAATGATTTCTTCTGCCTGTAAGCCCATGAGACCTGTCCTGTTCCTCAGAGGGAGGTGGGGAGCCAGCCTCTCTCAGCAGCACCTGTCCTCTTCTGGCCACCTTGTGCTGGGTAAAACAGGCTTTATCATTCCCCTTGCCCGTGTTCTCCTCCTCTGATTTTTGTTCAGGCAGTTTGAGAAGGACAGATGGATGTGTTTGGTGGTTGCTGTTGCTGGGGAGGATGTGAGAGAAGGGATGTGGAGGGAAGAGGACGTGCAGTGCTTTGTGGGGTTCAGCGGTGGGAAAGAGCCACAGTTGCTCCCTGGCTGTGGGCAGCTCCTCTCCCAAGATGGTTCAAAATTCCTGGACTGGCCTCTGCAGCTGCTGAGATGGGGTTTGCTGGCCTTCTTTCTGCTCCTGTCAGAAGAATAATAGCTTTTCTGAAAGACAGACTTTTAAGTCCTCTGTTGGTTTACTTCTTCTGCAGAATAACCTTTTGTAGCACAGGAATCTTAAAGAGATCAAACTTGACTGCAAGATGTAGCATTTGTTTTTTTCTTTCTTTTCAGCCCCGCAAACAAATTGTGAGTCTGTACCAGGTTGTTATTACTCCTTGAACAGATAATTTTCTAGGCTTGAAGAAATAAAGTGCTTTTCTGTTTTCCATTGTTTTGTAAGCTGGATTCAATTTCATGTTGCTGGTCCTATTTTACTGAGTGAATTTGCACTGCTGTACTTTGAAATATTTGCAGGAAAAGTATCTGTAGTGGTTTAAAAGTGGGGGTTTTTATGGTGCTGTATTGTGCTGTTTCATAAAAGACGAAGAAGATGATAAAAGACAACACATTTTGCATTTTTAAATGCTGATTACTCTTCGCTTAATGAAAAGCATCTTGAATTCAGCTTAATGGAAAAACTGAAATGGAAAACAGTCTTTACCAGCACTATCTCTGTGGGTGATTATTTTTTAATTCTATGTATCTAAGTGAGATGCAGAGAGTAACATGAAAACAATCTAATTCACAGCCCTTTGAAATCAGAACTCCTAGCTTAAGATGACATTCCTAGGATCTTCTCCAGACTTGTCTGGGGTTTCTGGGAGTATCAAAATGGCTTCCCCTTGAAATTCCTAGATTTCTTTTCTTTTGTGGCATTGATGATAATGATAATAATAATAATAAGACCCTTTTACAACTGAGGAATTTTACTTCTGTGTTTCTGGGTTCTTCCATGTAGGAAAGAAAATGTTTTTTCCCAAAGTTATGCCCAGGTAGCAGCAGCGTGTCAGGCTGCTCATCTCATGGGCTGCAGAATGCAGGGAGATGAAAAGAAAACCAAGGGAGCGTAAAAGGGAAAAATACAAACAGAAAGCACATTTGTAGAGAGGTGTGTGGTCAGGAGAAAAAAGCAGGGAAGTGGAAGACTGTGATGGATGATGAAGGAACAGAGAGAATTTGACCCCTGGACGAAATGACTTTGTTTTGTTTTCCTAAGACCTGGGGCTTAATTTCCAGTTTTGCTGATTTTTCACTGAGATATGAGAGCGAGAGAATTGTAGAAAACCCGGGATAATCACAGAAGAGAAACATAACAGTGCTCATATATGGTCTCACATAAATGCCTGCATCAAATGCAAGAGAATGTGTATTTGGAAATGAAGAGAATGTTAGAGTACCAAAGTTGAGATAGTCACACTGGGAGAGCAAAGAAATGCAAAAAGGTTATGTACTATTTTAGTAGCATGTTTTCCAGTGGATATAGGCATGTAAGCTTTGGCAAACTGATAGCAAAGTGGAATTTCGGAATAAGTAAATTCAGTGGATTTTATGCATGATAGGGAAAATAGCATTCATAGAAGTTTGTATAGTGTATAATAGATTTCAGTTTTTAGTCTGGTAAACATTTTTTAGGACTATTTTGTTGTTGGTTTTGTTTGGTTTGTTTATTTCTTTTGAGGGGATTTGTGGTTTTGTTTGGTTTTTGTTGTTTGTGTTTTCCTTTCTTTTTTTTTTTTTTTTTTAAGTTGTTATAGCAAGGAATATGTTAATCTGTGAAAGTTCCAAGTTTTTCTAACCCTGACCATTTAAAATACTCTGGCCTAGGTTTGTTTACATTCAGTTGCAATAACTACTTCTTTTAATCCTGTCTAATCTTGGAAAGCTGTCTATCTTTAGAGGGTTTTGCATTTGTTTGTAATACTTAATTCTTCTATAAGTACATACTGTGTTCCTGTGCTAAGTAATGGCTTTGGGGCATGGTGAGAAGAAAGTGATGGTAAATGGGAAATTCCTGATTTCTTGTGTACAAACTTCTCAAGCTGCTTTATCTGTCTTAATCCAAAAGCAGCCTTAGAACTGAAGTCTAATCCCAAAGCTGTGTTGATGCAAATGATTTACATGCCAAAAAGAACGACTTGTGTGAGGAAGGATAAAAAAATGGGCCTCAAGATGGATTTTGTTTTACAGTAGCTGCTTAAGTATGTAAACTTGGTTTTATGGAAAAGAACGAGAGAATCTATGTATGCCGTTGATAATCATAAATGTTTTTGTGCTGTTCTTTCTTTCTAGATTTGAACATGGAATTCAACCCATCAGATCATCCACGGGCCAGTACAATATTTCTCAGTAAATCACAAACAGATGGTAGGTTACTGAATTTATTACAGTATTTGCTCTTGCAGTTATCTGTAAACCCTTTTTTAGCATGCATGTGATAGTCTTTTAACATATAATTGCCCCCTCCTCCCCAAAAAGAGGCATTTACAGGCATCATGTTAAGAGTTTAAAGTGGTCACACCTTTAGTTATTTTTTGTCAGACTGATAGTACAAATATGGATAAAGATTAATATCATTATATTGCAAAAATATTTTCCCTAAATAAAAAAATTTCTGTGTATCTGTTTCTTGGCTTGTTTATTTTTATTTTTTTTTAAACTCTGAACATTAGGCCAAGCATCTGGTGAATGTGTGGAAAGTATTTTTTTGAGAAAATAGCTGTTTACATCAGCTAAGAAGACAGTCCAGAGTTTCTCTGATATAGGTGATGCTGTAAATGAGCTCAATACTAGATTTTAATTACAAAGTGACTCCCATCCTACCCAAACATTCTCTTTTCTTTCATTATGTATTTGATATAATCATATATTTGGAGTTTGATTGGTTTTTTTTATACGTAGACAAAACAATCTCTCTGAAATTATGGCTCCTAAACAAGCCTCCTGGTAGAGTCAGTAGAATAGAAGCCATTTATTCTGGCTCTTTCGTTCCCTGTTAGACATGTATGACATATTGTTTTAGAAGTAGATGAATAATCGATGCAAAACACATTATTTTCTGTGAAGACTTTCTAAGCAATTTCTGCATTGTAATCCTGACTGTTCAATGTGAATTCTTTGTCCTCCTTATTGCTGCCTGTAAATGCCACTTTTGATTTACATAGTAAATTGCAGTGTCAAACACATCACTTGAAAAATAATGTAGTTTTCACTTACTGTATATTTTTTGCTAATTTTTGAGCATTACTAGAACAAAGAGGATATACATTTAGGCCCTAATTGAAGAGTTGATTGTGTGAGTACCTCCTTTGCCCTTCAGACTGTCCTTCTGAATTCAGCCGTGGTTCTGTCAGTGCCTCATTATATGGCTTTGGATGTGATTTACCGTACTACTCTGGTTTGGTAGTCTGTAAAATGAGTGTGATAATATTTCCATAGTACCTTGCATTATGAAGATTGATGTCTATTTTATAGAGATTTTGCAGTGTTCTGAAACTGTTTAATCCCATATGGATGCTACTTATTTCTTGTTACAGCTTGTTGAAAGAAAGGACAAGGTAGACCCAAGTCCAACAACTAAAAATTTGACCAAACCAGATGGTTATTCTTTCTTGTAGTAATAGTGGTTCATTAATTGCAGTATGGAGTTAATTTTAAACATTTCATAAAAAATGACAGTTTACACTCATGCTAGAGTTGGTCTCTGAAGCTTTGTTGTAGTTTAAGTAATATGAATAACATATTTTTGAGTAGGAACAATGAATTTAGTGAAGCGCTATAGAAGTGTTATCAACGGGAGTGTAAGATCTGTTCAGCTGTCCTTCATCACACTGGAAAAAATACAAAGGCTATTTTGTTTGTACAAAAGAAAAAGGATTCTGCAAACATTTATCTACTGATGTATTGCCAAGAACCATCCCGTTCTGGTGGGACAGTTCACAGTCGTAAGCATTTTGCTTGGCTGTACTTTGGGCCCCTTTTTGGACCAGCTGAGCTGTAGGAGTTATTGCACTGTTCAAGGATGTTACCTAACACCAAAATGCAATGAAATGCTTGTGAAGGGGAAAATAGAAGGAGTTTTCAGGGTGTTAAGGTTTGTATTCTGACAGCCTCCTGTGGAGTCTGTGGGACCCCCAAGACTTCTTAAGACCACGTAGAAGAGGAGAGCTGAGCTGGCAATGTTGAAAACACCTTACTTAGGCATGTAACTGCCTTGCTCCATTACTTGTACAGTGTTGGGCTGGTAAACCTTCCTGTTGACTGTAAGTGAAAATATTTATATAGATAAGACCTGTGGACATCTAAAATACACAGAGGGTCAATGGCATCTGGATTCCAGGTTTCATCCAGGATCTGACTGTGACTGTGAGCGTACCTCACTTGGTTTTACAGTGGGAAGTGGCCAAGTCCATCACTATGTGCTAGAGTGACTTGGCTGCATTACCTTCAGGCAGTTCCATGTTTGGCTTTCTGGTAGCCCTGTACTCTTTCAACCTCACTGGTAGTTTTTTAGTGTGTCCTGTCACAGGAACTGTGCTTGGCCTGGATGTGATCAACACGTAAGTGAAGAGCAGCAACAAGCTGATTACCCCAGATATAGTGAGACAGGACATGGCAGCTCTGTTTATTACGTGGTCTCCAATTCCCTTTGTTCTGTGTAGCCTGAATGCCATGCTAAGCATCTAAACTGTCCTGTCCCTATTAGTCAGTAGAGTGAACACATCCTTAATTACCTGAGCATTCAATTACCTGAGCATTCAATGAATCTGTAGAACAGTTAAAGTCACAATAAATATTAATTCCATTCCCAGTTAAAGTAGCTTTTTTAAATGTTTCCATCTCTTTGTGAGAATTTTTTAGGTGCTGAATCATACATGAGGAATTCTGCCTTGTTTAGGGAGCTATTAAAGAACATTACCTTTTATGTCTTTAACTTCTTTATGCAAGTGCTTTATGCAAGTTCTCCCTCATTTGCTGAGTTTGGCCTGTAAGCTGGATTGTCTAGATGACTGGAAAGCCATGCACTGTTTATTGTGTGGCTGTGATTAAACCAGGGTTTCCAAAACCTTAGCACTCCAGCAATCTAACTTCCTTTCCTTTATGATGGCAAGGAGGCAGTGGTTGCTCCTCCAGGGTGCTGGTAATGGTCTTTCCTGTCCTTGGGTTCCAGGGATTCACCTCTCCTGATTTAGATTGGCCTCTACATTTTCAATGTACTGGCTAAATTTTGCAGTATCAGTTCAACGATGGACTTCAGATGAAGAGGATTTTGAAATTCTGTTTATATAGGTGTATAGAAGTAGAGTAAGCTGTATTTATTCTTTAGTGTTAACTAGGACCAGTCTCCTTGTATGAAGCAAAAAGAAATGAGTTACCAACTCCAAAATGCGAGGCGTTCTTGCTGTAGTCCTCTTGTCTTTGGTCCTGATATGGTTAACATTAAGACAGTATAGAAATTACACAGTGAAAGTTTTTACTACAGCTCAATGAAAAATACATACATATGTGCATATACATGCATGTGCATGTATGTGTGTGTGTGTATTCCCTCTCTCCCTGTAATTTCAGGATACTTTCCTACTATTGCAAAAGTTCAACAATAACAGTTGAAAGTGCCTGCAGCAATAAGAACAGGTCATTGACCTTAGAATGAGGAAAACTAAGACAATTTGGCAGCATCTCAGGCTCCACTTGAAGAGTTCCATTCCAACTTTCAAGTTTTAAAATGTTAAAAGGAAAGTAGAAGTTTAATTGTTTAAATTGACTTCAAATCTGTTCAGCTCCACGTCATCAAAACCCCGAGCCTAAACCCCAAAAGCCTGGAGTTGCAGTTAGGAGTTTATGCTGCGAAATGTTGGTTAATTCTGACACAAAGGTCTGTTCTACTGCAGATCATACTGAGCTGTGTGAGCAGTGCAAAGCATTTTTGAGCTGACTGAAGCCAATGGAATTACCCCTTTACAGTCATTTTAGCTTGGCGGGAGTAGCATTTTGCCTTTGGCAATAATTGGCTTCCTCTTGTTTAAAGGGGAGGTTGTGGTCACAAAAGAGAGTGGTTGTGACCAAGTGGGTTTCTCCTGTGCCCAATTCCCCACTGGCAAATGTTCTGGAGAGAGCTGAGCCTTACAGTGTGGCAGAGTGAGCTAGAAGCACAGCTACCTTCTTGTAGTCCCTCATCCAAGAGTCCAGGCTAACTGAATTTCTGTTATATGGGGAAAATAGGGAGAGGAGGTCAGCATGATGCTTGGAAGGATGTGCAGCGCAAGAAATGCTTGAGCAGGAAGAAGTGAGGGCTGTGTATAAATATGTTAACATATTCTTCTGGAGACTGGAAATAGCAAATGGGATTGAGAAGTGAGTAATATGCTTACTTTGGGAAATAAATGATTGTACTTTCATGGGGAATTGAATAATGGATACAAGATAAAATACAGAAGAAAAAACTAAGGGGAAAAAAGGGAATTAAAGTGGAATTTGGAGTGTATGTGCAGGCTGTCTTTATAGGATTTTGTCTATAAGAACTTTGTATGTGGTATAATTATTTATTATTAAAACACTTAAATACTTAACTGTGTTCAAAATTTCGCAGTTCATAGGTGTTGACTTTGAGTTATGTACTATATTAGGTTTGCACACAGCTTATCAGAATTGTTTACTGCCTGTACATTGCAATATGTGATACTAGATAAATACTTTGGCTATTCTTAGAAGTATCTACCATAGTTTTTTTGTTTCCCTTTAGATGACTTATGTCTCTTGCTGGTGATAAATGCACTGTGTGGAACTTAAGTGTAGTGCAGTGTTTTAGCAGTATTTCAAGCAGTTTAACTGTTTACTAGATTATCAGAATTTTTCCACTGTTCCTGTTTAATTCTGTTTCTTATACAATGTCTGTAATTGTGGATCTGAGCATATTCTAAGTGACATGGCTAACATCTGTCATGTGTGATTCTCCTTTCTGCTCCCTGGGAGGAAAATTATGTAAGGATTTTTAAAAGTTTTTTCTTATTTTTTTAATTTTTATTTTATGTCTGCATTAAACACAATTATTTCACAGTATTCACACATAGAGCCTTGTTTATGTGAGATTGCTTGCTTATAATAAATCACAAATAATGGCTTCGCATCCAACAGGGAATGGACAGGCTATCCCACCATTATGAACACTCTTTTTTTGCTAAGTGTGTTGGGTTGCATAGCTTTCAAATCATGGTGCACCGAAGTGCATTTAATCACCTACAGCATGAAATCATTATTATTTTAATCCTGCAGTTTGATTTATGTGTTAGTTGCCTCCAGACTTGTATCCTAAATGCTGTGGTATTTTCACTGGAACAGAGCTCCGCAGGCTCTCTATGGGGTGAGTTAATTGGGGAAGTGCTTTTAAAAAAAATTAAATAGAATATATTTAATCAGCTGTAATAAGCATTTGCCTGACAATTAAGACTCTATACATCTATCTCCCTTGTTGTTGCTGTTTACTTTCTGACTATTTTGGCTAATTGTGGCTTTGACTTGCAACCATTGCTTGTGGTGACTGGTTCATACTCACCAAAGTTAATACATTTTCATTGTTACATCCAACATGAGTAGTAGTTTCAGGGTTGCAGCTGATCATTATAGAAGACAGTGGTGTAATACATGTGGTTTCAAGGCCCCTCTGTGGGAGTTAGTGCACAGTAAGCTGTGATGAGAATTTACTAACTCCATGGTGTAGCTATTTAGGTGCTTTCCTACCTGCAAGGGAGTCTAGGCCACGTTGCAGCAAGGTACCTTGCATGAAGGCACTGGTGGCTCAGGAGTACCCACACAGAGAGCTGGTGAAGGATGGCTAAGCCATTGCTAACTTGGACTGTAGCTTACTGCATATTAACTTTCCCATGCGGACCAGCGCCTGGTGAAGTACCCAAATGGACGAGAATTTTAAGCCATCACCACACTAGTGAGCGTAAATGCCTTTATGCATACAAATATGTGTTCCTTCTGTGTTTGCTATATGAGTATACTTGGTTAGTGCAAAAGCGATTATAATGTTGCACATAGATAGTCTCCTGTTCTTTTTATTATAAATGGTGTATAAGAAGCTTAATCGGGAAAAATAGTCATGTAATATTTCTATCATATTTTGTGTTTTTGCAGTGAGAGAAAAACGCAAGAGTCTCTATATAAACCACGTAAGTGAAAATGCCTCGCTATGCAGCTTTCTCCTTGTTGTCTATATTATACAGTAAATAAGAGTTATGACACATGATTTCCGTATCGGTGAGCGGGTGCTGATGCTTCACGTGTTTGTTCTGCATCAGGACCCAGAAGGGTAGGTCTCGGGTGTTGAGTTAGAGCAACAAACGTGTTGGTTTGGAGACAGTTTCATGCTCACAACCAGTGTACGAAGGTGACTGGGAAAAAGAGCTGCACACATTAGCATAATTTTTAAAATTATTATGGACACTCTCAAAACTTTAGATTACATTTGTGTGCAAGTTTGCATTGGCAGAGAACTGTAGCATTTGATATTTACACAGTTGTTCTGAAGTGCCTGATCAGTGTTGATGCGATGTAAATGTGGATTGACATGTGGTACATGCTGAGAATGAAGATGGGGATTTGATATGCTTATGTACCCCTGGGCATTTTTCAATTCAGTTCTCTTCTGTTTGAATCAAATTCTTGGTGAAGCTGAGGGCAAATCCCCTGTAGCTTGTTTTGAGTACAGGACCAGGCCCTTTGTCTCAGTTAGTATTGTTTGTACTGCTGAAGCACCTGGAACCAGGGTGCTTTCAAGTATGTGAAGCCTTGTACTGAAATATGTGGAGTCATGGCTCAGTAAAATTGAAAAGGGAAATAACCAGTTGTCTACCAGGTGCTATTTGCCTTTAAGGTGAAATTAAGTTCTTAAGTTTTTCTCTATCTTGAAATATAGACTGTCTTATAATTTTTAAGCCACTACAGCTGCTGAAACAAACAGACATGGTTTATAACCTCTTCCTCCCTTTGTGCTGGGGCAGATGTTTATCTAGCTCCAGGTAAACTGGATTGGATCACGCAGATAGATTCAGCTGAAAGCTAAAGTGGGGCTCCTGAATGTGATTCACTCCAGGACTTGCACCTGCAGAAAGGGAAGGAGCCATGAGGGCAGGAATGAACTGCTGAGTGGGGTGAGAAGACAGGACCACTTCACTTGTTGGCAGAACTGGTTTGTGTTGAGTGTTTTTGAAAGTACTGCCTGGCTTCAAAAGCAAGCTGAGATTTTCAGTTTCCCATGAGTTAAGATTCAGAGAAGTCGTGAGATACTGTGAGGCTTATAAAAGCGTTAAAGTTGGCCCCACTGGGTTACCAGATATTTTTTGTGCTTACCTTCTGTTCTCCTGTAAAACATTTCCATTGTTTATAGTGCATGTGAGGGTGGTTTGCAGAGCAATTTTCCTGTTATAAAATTACTTTTAAAGCTAATGCACTGGGTTCCTGTAAACTTAATAGTGTGTGCTCAGTAACTTCCAGCATGCTTTTTAAAAAACCCTCGAACTTGAAGGTTTAAATGCAAACAAAAAAAAAACCTTTAGACATTGTAAAGCAAGGTATTAACTGAGTTTCTGTGACAGTCCACCTGTCATGGATGAAATTCTCATGTGTTCTGAATCATTTCATATGTAGAAGATGCTGTCTGTGTTAGGCAGACTGCGAGAGGATTCCTCCAGCAGCTTGAACAAAGATGTCTATTGCAGATGCTGCAGGAAGCACATGTTGCAAACTCTGGTATAAAGTGTTCTTAGGCAATGCTGGACATGTTACAGAAAAGGGAAGGGTGATCACTCAGGAGTCTTGTTGGGAGGTCAGTGTAGCAGCTTATGCAGCTGATACCCTGAGCACTGCACCTCTTCTTAATTTTTGGTTTGTTGTTTTGGTTTTTCCCCCTCCCCCTAAATATCATTCAAAGCATTGGCTGAGGTTGCAGTAGTGTGAACTTCCCTCAATACTCTGGTTTACTGCTCCCATAACTCTGACTTCTTTGTACTTATAAAGTACTTCTTCTGAATTACAAAGCTAAAAATAACCTTTAAGAAGCTGAAGTCCTTTTTCTGTGTGTGTCCTTACAAGTCAGTTAAGTTTTTTAGACAGTACTCATAGATAAACTATATTTTCAAACGTGGCCTGTGATATTTAAGTTGTTCCTTTAGCACACCTGAGAGTATTCATTCAGCACCTCCTAAATTTTCAGTCTGCTAAAGGTAATGCACAAACTGTCGATCGTTTTTGAAGGGGTAGCTGTGGCTTCTAACTGGCAACTGTGTTTAGATTTTCAGACTTCAGGGAACCGTTTTCCTAGACCAGCTTGTTGGAAGAAATTTAAGGCATCAGATTTAACCATTTTATGTGACAAATGATGGGTTGTATTTACATGGTGAGTCTGTGATAATACCCTGTTGGTTGATCAGTTCTTTTCCACTGTTACTCAGTGTGTGCTAATGCATTTGGAGCAGGAGCTGTTGCCACTCATCTGTTTCCCTGTTGATGTGAAGTGCTGGGTCCCACATCTGCTCTGGAGGAGACATGCCAGAGGACATAAATTTTGGAGTGTTGTTTTGTCTTTCTCTTGCAAGAACTCCTCAACATAATATGCAGCACTTTTCTGTGGTTCTTCCATAGCATCGTCTTTTTTGTTGTTGTTATTTTTTATACTTATTCCTCTTTTGTGATAAATAACCAAGATGAGCAACAAAATATTTTTATCCTTTTCTGCAGCATCTGCGCAACTGGTTATTTTGTAGGCAGAGTTGTATTTCTCCTGAGTGATCAGGATGGATGGCTAGCAAAAGAACTGTCAAGAAAAGCTTTACTTTTTCTTTCCTAGTAACAGATGAGAACAGTAGTTTATACAAAAACAGTTTTGAAGTATTACCTATTAAAAAATAATTTATATTGACTCTTCCTCATTTAAAAATTCACTTTCTCAGCATGATCACACCACTGTTCTTTTTCTTTCTTATTTGATTTTATTTGTGGACTGTTTTATTCAGCTAAATAGTTTCCTTCGATCCCCAAATACAAATAGTGGGTTCCTGCTTTGATTTGTTATGTTTTGTCGAGGGCTGACAGTTGCTGTGTTTCAGATTCACCTTGTCAGTAGGTGTGATGGAAGAAGCCAGCAGCTGTTCTTTTTTTTTTTTGGGGTGGGGAAGGAATGAAAGTAGGGGGTGACAGAGTGTTGTGGAGAAGCTGTCATCTCTACCTTCCCACGGGGCCCAGGGAGACAGATGACAGGCTGGGGAATGGTGCTGGATCCTTTGCACCATTCTAGGTGCTGGAAGTTCCCTACCTACAGTGTACATGACCTGCTTGCTTTTTTCCAGACTGTTTTAATTTGTAAGCAGTTGCAGCAGACTCTGCTTCCCTTCCTCACTGTACTGGCAGTCACTGGTTTTTGTTATGCCTTTCATGCTGCTTCGGTGTGCACGTCTTTTAATCTGCTTAGTCAAGCTGCTGAGGGAGATAAAGATGCAGACTGAGACAGAGGCATTTCCTTTTTCAGAGAAGAGAGATTGCATCAGTATCTCTACTTGTACAAGGAGAGCAAACAGGAAGACATGTTTTATGTTTTTTGAGGAGGTGGTGGAGAAAGAGTGAATCTTTTGTTATTGATTGCAGTATCTAGCTCTTTGTACTGCGTGTTGTTTTTTTTGCAGGGGAAAAGAGGAGGGCAGGGAGAAAAAAAGGTTGCTTTCTCCTTCAAGTTTTTTTCTAGAAATTTTCCTTTTCAGACAAGGTGAAAATGCTCTGTTAGCCCAAGTAATTTCTTCTCTTCTTGACAAGATACACTTTTAAAATTGTGTTTATAAGCAGTAATATCCAGTAAAAATTAAAGGGATATTTTTTGCATATTGGAATATTTTTGAAGGAAGATAAAGGGTAGGAAAAGGGAGATAAGACAAAGGGAAGTAATATCTCACTTGTTTTTATTCTGGAGACTCTTCACCAGCCTTGTAGCAACAGTGTCTTTTCCGCGTTGTCTTTTTTAGGGATCTGGATATGACTTTCACTGTGTGCTACCTGGCAACTGGATGTTCAAATTCCAGCAGGCTAATACTGTTTTTATCACTCCAAGTGGAAAAAATAACATCTGTGTATAGAACAACATTTTTTTCAGGATCCTGGGGAAAGGTTCATGGGCATCACTTGTGTCACAGCCCTGGACCTTGTAAGTGACCCTGTGGTGATTCACATCAGGGGAAGCTTCTTCCCAGAGGCAGTACTGGTGGTAGGGACTAGCAGAGAACAGAGGGGTCTGCTGCTGTATGTGGTGTTGCACAAGCAATTTCTGTGAGCCTTTTTGTGTGCTTGAAATGAGGTATGGCACTTGCTCCTGTGTAACCCCTAAATTTTCCTGTCAGATTGGATAAAGAGGCTGTTCTGCTTCCCTGTTGTAAAACTACTAGGCATGTGACTGATAATCAAACACTTTCAACCAGTGATTAAAGAGTAAATAAGATACATGCTGAAATGAAAACATAGTCTGAAAAGTAGTTTAATCCATGAAAAATGCAAAGCACAACATAAAATGTGAAATGTTGTTTTTGAGTGGACTGCCTAAGGCTGGCTATTGTAAAGGCTTATCATTGCTGTCCAAATGCCTTAAGATATTTTAATTAACATTCCAAACTACAAGAGAAGAACAGGATAAACTGGAAGATAGATTAGAGGCTTCTCAGGTGCTCTTGAAGTTCTCTTAGAGATTGCTTATTGTGGTCTTTGTCCCTCTTCGTTGCCAGATCACTGAAAAACAGGTCTAGAGGGGGCCTTTATAGACCACCTGGTCACACATTCCCTGTTCTGATGCCATTCCTAATAGATGCTGTTTAAGATTCTTTTTCAGGCATCTAGTTAGCTAAAATTAACAGGTTTTCTTTAATGACTTACCTAAACATACTGTTTGAAATGTGTTTTTCTAATGTCTTTCAGCCCCTTGCTCCTTTTCCTGTCCTCCAGGATAAAGAATTTTACCTCTCCTGTCAGCCTCAAGGCAATAAGTTATATGAAGTGACAAACTTTTTTAAGGGGAGGAACAAAAGATGACTTTTAAGGTAGAACGAGAACATGCAGGGGGAGTTCTTTTACAAGGTGTTATGTAATACTTGCTTTGCTGGAAACACAGTAAAGTCCCTCTGGTCAAATTGCACAA